CTGCGGCCGCCATCCTCCTTCACCCGCTGAGCCAGGCTCGAACTCTTCCGACTAGGGTGCGCCTTAGCCAATCAGCGTCCTCGGGGCCTCTTTCATAGGCAAGCCGCGCCCATAAACGGGTCAGTGTAGCCAATCAGCGCTCGCTACCGCTTCCGGAAAGGCGGCCCTTTCGGAAGCCAATGACAAGCTCCTCTGAGATTGGACTCAGGCAATTATCCAATGAGAAATGAGTTCCCACCCTTCTCCTTTTCGTTGTTGTTGTTGTTGTTGCTCTCCGGCCTGATTCGCCTACGAGGTTGAGCTAAGAACGTCAATCACGGCATGGTAGCCAATCTAAGGGAGCCGGCGAGAGAGCGCAGCTGCAACAGTTGCCGGCGCGATTTAAAGGCTCGCAGACCCTTCCTTCGCCCTCGCTCGCTGCTACAGTGTTTCTCAACCGTGGGCACTTTAAGACGGCCGGACTTCAACTCCCAGAATTCCCCAGCCAACATTCCCAGCCAGGGAATTCTGGGAGTTGAAGTCCGGACGTCTTAAAGCTGCCAAGGTTGAGAAATATAGCTGTGCCGTGTTTTAGGGTGCGCAGTTCTTCGGCTCCACATGGCAAACTGGACAATGGCAAGGCCTGTTCTACACAATTGGGGGTGGGCAGACGGAGTGCTTAGGCTAGGAGCGAAGGAAAACCTCCTTTGGACTTTTCCCCGTGGTCCCCTTTCTTTCTCTGGCATCTGTCTCCCACGCCTGGGTCTTCCGTGGTCTCGGTTCTGATCAATATTTTATTAGTCACAAACCAGAATTATCTGGCTTCCGATATTCCAGCACATGGGGAGGGAGAAGCGAGCGTCCACTCTTGTCCTTCGGGCAAAGTCACGCACCCCCGAATTTTCCACCCCATCCCTCTTCTGCACAATTTCCCCACGTGGGTAAAAACGGAACGCTGCACGTTGAAGCGTCCGCTTCTCTCTTAACGACCAGTCTTGACACGACCGTGTTCCGCGGAGCTGCAATGACCATCCCGGGCCGCCAGGGGGCCGCAGCGGCGCAGGGACGCCGCCTGGCGCAGCGGAGGGGGCGTGGGAGGGCGTCTCCATCTTGGGCCGCAGCTGCACTGATGTTTCAGGCCAGTCTTCCCCAACATGGCGCCCTCCGGGGCGTCGGATCTTCAACTCCCGCCCCCCGCCCAGCAGCGCGGCCCACCTCGCACAAAACGCTGCAGCGAGTGAACGTGGGCCCTGGTCCGGCT